TTGAATAATGACTAATTAATAATGACCAAAAGTCCTACATTGGGAAATAAAAACATATGGTCCTATATTGGGAAACTCATTGTGTTTTAGCCCTTGATGGATATCCGGGAATGGGGATATCTAGCTCAACAGGAGAATGGCCCAGCCCAACTACGCCAAGGCCCACTTGGCAAAACCAAGATGAAGGACCATCAAGGACCGCCTCGGCAAACGCCACGCGATCGGCCTCAGCAGTCTCGGTCACCTTCGGACCGATCCGGCCGGCCTCCCGTCCGGAGAACTCTTGAACATACGTCATGAACTCGGCCTCGGCCATGAGCAGCGACAGACCAGACGCAGACAAGAGAGCTGGCGTGGTCAAGATCAAGGGACCCACGATTAGACTCCTGCCATGCCTCTGGCAGAGTTGCTATAGCCACCCTACTGGTTACCTATTTTGTATAGCAATCCTAGGGATAATTATGTGGTTGGACGCCGCCAGTGAACAACCCAATCTTAGTGGGCCCAGACCGTTGGATTGCGGACCAACGGTCGGAACCCTAGCTGTAATTTGTATATAAACCTCTTCTCTTCTAAGGGAAAAGGGACTTACGTTCTAAGTGAGACTCTTACCAGCACAATACTATTCTCAGTTTACTTGACCCCATATTTTCGTGCACTCAGACTTAGTTCGATACTCATCCGCCTAGTTACCTAGGCCCCCGGGTTCCATAACCCAACATTGGTGCTTTCATTGAGAGTGTCGAACACATCAAGCGTGCTCCAGAAAATGGTTGCGTCAAGGAGAGTGACCAGATCGTCTACCGCCAATCTCGGTGATGGTATCAGGATGACTATAACGGCGCCGACCGGCGCAGGTCCCGATGAGCTGGACATCAGCCTCAACGATGTCGCCAGCCAAAACACCACTGACCTGCGCCACCGCATTCCCAGACGGCGGACGGCAAAAGCCGCGGGGTCTCAGGCGCCGATACGGCAGGTGCCCACCCAGGGCGCCGGTGTGTTAACGCAACCCCCTCCCAACGGGTTAGTCCGCGGGGGAAGCGTGGTGCTGCCCGGTGATTTCAACTCACCATTCTTCCAGTTCGGGGAGACCTCCGGTGCGAGGACCCCAGGTCCAGACCCTAGCGGTTTTTGGGCCATGATGAGGGCGATGCTGCTCAATCAACCCATGACTGGTTTCCACATGCCGGTCACGATGCCCCAGCCAACGCTCCAGCTTGGCGAACGTCGCGAGGTCCAGCAGAACGCGGTGGAAAGTGCAGAGCTTTTCGCCCAACACTTGAAGAGTCTGATGGCGGACCCCCGCCTGAACCCTTTGGCCGGGGGACCCGAGAACAAGGAGCCGAGCCAATCCCAGCAGCGGGACAACGGCAAGGGCCCGGAGCGCAGGCCCAACAAGAAGCAGGCTAGCCGTCGAGACAAGGAGACGGCGAACAAACGCCATGAACCCCTAAAGGAGGGACAAGATGAGAGTGAGTCACACGTATCTGTGTTCAGCCGGATGCGAGTCCCGGCCACGGAGCGGCTGCATGGCCGGCGGAATATCCTCCTACAGAACGAAGCGGGGAAGATTAGGATGCCCTGCGAAGAGTAGCACTGTGACCGACACAGAGAGGTCCACCAGGAAAGACAAAATTCCCGGGTCGAACAACCCATTCAATATCCAATCCTGAGAGCGCCCCAAGGGACGCCTGGCGCAATGGGCGGGGGCACGGGTAGACATGGGGACGAACGCATTGATCTCCTCTTGCAGAGACTGGACGCCCTAGAGAGGAAGAACGGGGCAGGACAGGTTTCCGAACCAATGTTCAGACTTCGTTCCCCTTTCTCTGAAAGAATCCTGAGGGCACCACTACCGAGCAGCTTTCAGATGCCGCCTATACCAAGATATGACGGGACCGCAGACCCGCAGGAACATTTCAACCGGTACCAAACCCTCATGAATGTGGTAACGTTCTCCGAGGAGGTCCTTTGTAGATCGTTCCCCGCCACTCTAGATGGGTTAGCGTCTGAGTGGTTCAGTGAGCTGCCTGAAGGGAAGATCGACTCGTGGGAGGATTTAGCACGAAGGTTCTTGGTGCATTTTGCCGGGAACAGGAAGAAGAAATTACATTTTTCACATCTTCTGTCGGTCAGACAACGACCTGACGAGCCCTTGAGGGAATTTCTGACAAGATGGAAGCTGGAGACCACCAGAGTTTACGGAGCAGATGACAAAACTGGGTTATCTACCTTTCATTTGGTCTTGCGATCAGGTGATTTCTCCAAGCGTCTGGCCCTGGAGAAGCCGAGGGAATATTCCGTCGCGTTAGCCATGGCAGAAGATGAGGCCGAAGCAGAGGAGTTGGAGGCAAACAAGAAGAAGGAGGAAGCAGGAAGGCTTGGTTCCATCGCGACTGCAGTGAAGCCCACGCCGAGGAAGGTTACCATCGATGAGCGACCGCATTTGCCGGTCGGACACCGTTTCCGGAAGGGCAGAGACCCACGTGACCGCAGGTCACATGGAAAGGAGATATATGAAGGAGACGAGGACAGGAGACCTTATCCCCCAAGAGGTCCCAAGTTGTTGTTCCCCGATGAGCTCACGCCGCTTACACATCCCGTAAGCGCCATTCTGGAATTCGCCGAGCATCAGGGCTTGGTGGAGTACGATCCGCGTTTCCCCCCGATCTGCACTGTCGGGGAGGGCCCTTATTGCAGGTTTCACAGAGCGGCCGGTCATGACACGGACGCGTGCAAAGTCCTGAAGAGAGAGATCGAGAACTTGATCCAAGCGGGATACTTGCGACAATTCGTCAAAAAAAGGAACACATGGCGCAAGGACGATGGGAGGAAGAATGGGGACAACCGAGAGAAGAAGCCGGTGGGAACTCAGCAGAAGAAGAGGAAGGAGATAGGTCTCCCGAGTGACGAGGAAGAAGAAGACAACCCCAGACAGAAGAGGGTTGAGGAGAACAGAATGATTTATGGTGGCAATACCGGGGGAGACAGTGCCGAGCAAAGAAAGAAATGGGTACGCTCGGCTTACGTCGGAGATGTCCACAGCGCACCCGGACCGTCGAAAGTCACGAAGACAGAGCCCCTCCTATTTGGTCCCAAGGACCTGCCTGAGATCCCATCACCCCACAGAGATGCTTTGGTTATCAAGTGTGAGATCAACGAGGTGGTAATCCACCGATCCTACGTTGACAATGGGAGCTCGGTGAACATCATGTATGTGAGGACATTTGAGGAGCTGGGGTTAAAAAAGGAGCTCTTGAAGAAATAAGGACTCCCTTGTCCGGATTCACAGGGGACATCATCGATTCAGAGGGCCTAGTCGAGGTGATGGTCACCTCCGGTGATGGAGAGCATAGGAGGACGATCCCGGTGGAATTTTTGGTGGTACGACTTCTGGGATCCCATAACCTGATCTTGGGTCGGCCTGCACTGGAAGATCTCGACTCCGTAACATCAGTGAAGTATTTGAGCATGAAATTCCCTACCGATTCAGGAGTGGGAGTGTGCCGAGGAAACCAAAGGCTCGCCCGACTCTGCTACCAGAAGCAAACCAAGAAGATGGACGCCCAGGATCTCAGAGTGGACAGTATTGCCACGGCACTCTTGAAGGAAGAAGAAGGCCGTCCTCGGGCTGAACCAGCCGAGGATACAGAAGATGTGGTGATAATGGAGGAGCAGCAGGAGAAGAAGATCAAGCTCGGTATTAACATCAGTGCCGAGCTCCGATCAAAAATCATACAGGTACTCAGGGAGAATTTTGTGGTCTTTGCATGGAGTGTCGAGGATATGCCAGGAGTTAGCAAAACCCTGATCACCCATCGCCTCGCGGTCGGATCGGAGGTAGAGCCCATAAAGCAGAGAAGGCGGCACTTGAGCAAAGACCGGAGAGATTTCGTGAAGAAGGAGGTGGACATGCTCCAAGCAGCAGGGCATGTCAAGGAGATAAAATACCCCACCTGGCTGGCCAACGTCGTGCTGGCACCAAAGGGGCAGACGTTCAGGATGTGTGTGGATTACACTGACCTAAACCGAGCTTGTCCTATGGACCCTTTCCCTTTGCCCAACATTGATCAAATGATCGACGAAACAGCCGGGTGCGAGGTCATGTCTTTCATGGATGCGTTCAGAGGATACCACCAGGTATTCATGCACGACGAAGATGCCGAGAAGACGACGTTCCTCACCCCAGAGGGGGTGTACTGCTATTTGGTGATGGCATTCGGGCTAAAGAACAGCGGAGCCACGTATACCAGGATGGTCAGCCGGGTGTTTCACTCGGTCTTGGGAAAGACGATGGCAGCATATGTGGACGACATGATCGTCAAGAGCAAGCAGGCTTCTAACCATGCGGAGGATCTGGCCCAGGTTTTTTCTATTATGCGCAAGTTCAATTTACGTCTTAACCCCAAAAAATGTACATTTGGTGTAGAAGGTGGAAAGTTTCTGGGATACCTCGTGAGCCGACGAGGTATTGAGCCCAACCCCGAGAAGGTCAAGGCGATCCTGGACATGGAGGCCCCCCGTTCCATAAAGGAAGTACAGCGCCTGACGGGGAAGATGGCTGCACTCGGCCGATTTTTGTCAAAATCCGCCGAGAAGAGTATTCCTTTCTTCGGCACACTGAAGAAGGTCCCACAATTCCAATGGACGCCCGAATGCCAGGCGGCATTCGGAGAACTGAAGAAGTATCTGCTAACCCCGCAGGTATTAGCGAAGCCGGTCAAAGGCGAGAAGCTGTACCTTTACTTGGGAGTTAGCCCAGGGGCCATAAGCTCCGTATTGTTGAGAGAGGAAGGAGACACTCAGCGCCCTATCTATTATGTTAGTAGAACCTTGAGGGACGCCGAGCTCAGATACTCAGTGGTGGAAAAAACAATCTTGGCCGTTGTTAACACGGTCAAGAAGCTGAACCATTACTTCCAAGCCCACGAAGTGGAAGTAAGGAGTCATCAACCTCTGAGCATCATCATCAGGAATCCGACGGCCTCTAACAGGGTCATCAAGTGGTCTGTCTATCTGAGTCAATATCAGATAGAGATGAAGCCGAGGGCAGCAATCAAAGCCCAGGCCTTGGCCGAATTCATGGTAGAATGTACTGCACGTGACAACAACCTCGTACCCGTGGCGGAGCAGGGAGGATGGTGGACTTTATCTACTGATGGATCGTCAGCTGCAAAGGCTTGCGGTGGGGGCGTGGTAATCCAATCACCGGAAGGATTCCGCTCCTATCATGCAATAAAATTCCAGTTCAAGGTGTCCAACAACGAAGCCGAATATGAAGCATTACTGAGCGGACTGAGAATCATCCTCAACCTGAAGGCCGAATACGTTAGGATCAGGTGCGATTCGCGCCTGGTCGTCAGTCAAATCAAAGGGGAGTTCGACACCAAGGAGGAACGGATGCGCCTATACAAGGAGGCGGCCTTAGAGTTGCTCAAAATCCTCAAAGGATACGAGCTGGTGCAGATCCCGAGGGCGGAAAACACCGAGGCTGACGTTCTCTCCAAACTGAGCAACGACAGCCCCGAACATATCTCCAAGATGGCTCACATTGAAGACTTGGGAACCCCAAGCATCCACATACAGCTCATCTCTATTGTCACCGAGGAGGCCAACGGCTGGATCGCGGAGCTAATCCGGTATAAGAAGGATGGGATTCTCCCGGGCGATGAGACGACGGCCCGTTTGATCAAACGGAGGGTGCCGACGTACGTCGTTGAGAATGGCCGACTATACAAGAGATCGTACAATGGCACATTGCTAAGGTGTGTTGATGAAGCCAGAGCGGGGCAAATCATGGAAGAAGTGCATGAGGGAGTATGCGCAGCACATCAAGGTCCTTTCTCCATGGCAAGACGCATTGTCCTGCAGGGATACTTCTGGCCGACCATGGTGAAGGACTGTGCCAAGCGCGCCAAGCGTTGCAAAGTATGCCAAGTTTTTCAGAACATTCCGGGTAGACCAGGAACCAGCTATCATCCCATCAGCTCATCGATTCCCTTTGCTCATTGGGGGATAGACTTGATCGGATTGATGCCGAGGGTACCCGGTAACTTCCGTTGGATCATCGTGGCCATCGATTATTTTACGAAGTGGATCGAGGCCGAGCCTTTAGTGGGAGGAACCTCAGAACAATGCTCAAAATTTGTGAACAACAACATACTCTGCCGGTACGGTGTTCCAAAGCAGATCACTACGGACAACGGAACCCAATTCGAGGCCGGAGATTTCAATGAACTCCTGGGAGATTGGAAAATCAGGCACACCTACAGCTCTGTGGCCTACCCGCAGGGGAACGGCCAAGTAGAAAACGCCAATCGAACAATCATGGATGGGATCAAGAAGAGGCTGGAATCTTACAAAGGAGCCTGGGTGGACCAGCTTCCCAACGTGCTGTGGGCATACCGCACAACTCCGAGGAGGGCGACAGGGGAAACACCGTTTTCCATGTGCTACGGTCTGGAAGCAAGAGCACCCTCGGAAGTGTTCATTCCAACATGGAGAGAGGAGAACTATGAAGCCAAGGAGAACGAGGAAACCATGGCGGCCGATCTCAACTTCGTCGAAGAACGCCGGGAGCAGGCTTTCCTCAAAGCAGAAAATTAGCGAAGGCAAGTAAAAGAATACTACGACCGCAAAGTCAGAGCAAGGGAATTCCGAGTAGGGGATTTGGTACTCAGGAAAAGGGAAGCCAGTCAGCCTACAGAAGGAGGAAAGTTTGCCAAAAGCTACGAAGGACCATATAAGGTCACAGCCGTACTCAGGCCTGGCACCTACAAGCTCGCCACGCTCGAAGGGCGCGAACTCGGCAGGCACTGGAATACGCACAATCTCATTTCTTTTTACATGTAAGGCACTGAGAACCGTAACCAGTCGGCCTCGGTAGCTAAAAAAAATATTCTTCAATGACTCGCTTCCACACGAATTCTGTTTTGCTTCAAGCAATTTTTAAACGCTGCTTAGCGATATCGGGCTCTCACGCCACGATTTCTTATGGCCTCACGCGGTCTTTCGCTCTACGCGAACTAAGTCCCTTTGTGCTCCCACACACACATCACGAGAAACAAATTTCAGCAGTCTCGCCACTCGGCAACACCTATTGCCGAGTGTCCCTTCAGGGGGGGAGCCCATCCGCACGGCTTAACCCGGGGAATTGGCGCTCTGAACGAGTCGAAGAACAAGGTCCGAATGGGCACAACTTGTTAATAGCATAGAGGGCAGCGCAAGGTTCTGCTTAGGACAAAAAACTTTCAATCCTGCTTAGGATGTCTTCCACGACCACTAGTCCTGCTGAGGACGCACCTTTCGCCGCCCTGCTGAGGGTACAAGCGCAATAGGGCCCTTTGGGGTAAAAAAAAAGGGGGGGGGAAGAAGAAGAAGAAAACATAGCACGCAAGCAATTTTATTACGCGAAAAAAGCGATACATCATTGTTCAAACACAAGAACGTGAAGCACTGTTTCCCGAATGATCAAAATACACGTTTATTTCTTCAGAAAATGAAGAATCTACTGAGGAAGCCTCATGGTCGACCGCAAGCTGCGCTTTGGGGTCAACACTGATCGTCTTCTTCCGGTGAGCACGACGAAAGCCTTTGAGGTAAGCACGCACATTCGTGCCCACCTTGCGCACCAAACGGCCAGACTTCTGCGCAGCCCCTGTTGGATCAGGCTCCCGGCGGAAGGGGCTCTGGACAGAATCCTCACTCAAAGAAGACAGATCGGGATGAGTACACTTCCCAACCGCAGTCGGAGCGGTGGCGAAGCTGGGAGAAAGCAAATCGGCCATAAGGAAAGAACAAGGTGGGGTGGCCCGAATGAAGGACGTTCCCTCTTCAAGAGAGGGAGTACCAGGGCTTAACGCCATATTGCAAAAAAAAAGAGAGGCAAGCAAGGGAAGGAACAATGCATCACATTTATAATCAGCAAAAGCTACAACATTTATTACAGAGGTATTCTCAAAAGCTACAACATTTATTACAAGCCCTACACGATACGGTGCAACGTCGGAAACATTAATTACACAGCGACACTGAAAAAGGAAAAGATATGACTTTCCCTACCTCCCAATGGATTTTCGGACGAAGGAAAAAAGACCCCAAATCCATTGGTAGGTAGAGAAAGTCATAGGAGAGTAGACACCCCCCGGGCCCAATGGACTTCAGGACTAACAAAGCCCAGGCGCCGAAGGACGTGGATGGCCCCCCAATTCGGCAAACCTCCATGGGGAGGTATACAGGGGAGGGCCATAATAGGGAAACTTAGGAAGAGCCGACAGACTCTTCCGGGTGATTGTCACCCACGGGAATGGCATCAGCAACTGGCTGAGCAGGCTCAACTGGGAACGCTGCTTGTTGAGGAACTCCGTGAAGATAATTCACAAGTCTTTGCAGACGTTTGATCCGCCTTTCCAACTTCTTAGCGCGGTACCACCAAGAGTTGGGCGAGACTCGGCGTCATCCGGCTGAGGAGGAGAGCGACGGCGAGTGGTTTTCGGCGGGGAAGGCGGAGGATTTATCCTCGCGGAATTATTGGAAGCCATGAAAAGATTAACAAGAGGGATGAAGGGATGAATTTCGCAATGCAGGGAGAAGGTCAATTTATGGTACCATGCACGAAGAGATAAGGAAGTCAAACAGTCGTAGTGATTGGAAGTGGAACTGTGCGCAGTGACACGTGTTTGGCACAGCGCGACGGTCCAGTGGTTAGGTCTGTTTGCGTGGGGAAGCCAAAGAGTCAGTTCCTCAAAAGGCACAATTCAAATTTATCCAAATAAATAATGTCAGGAATCTATCAACTATTCACGCATGCAGCAAAACAGTGACAAAATCTTTGTTACAGAAGAGAAGAGATTTCAAAAAAAAAATTACAAGGAAAACACTAAGGAAGAATGTTTGAGGGTCGTTCGTCGCCGGTGTCTTCTGCATCCTTTTCTTCGTGCTCGGGAGTCCCAAGGTAATCCGGATTCTCCCCGAGCTCGTCATTCAAGTTGGGATCATGCATCTGGGGAATGTCAACCCCGGGCGGAGGAAAGGACGGGTCTACTCTCCTGGTCCGACGAAGGACGAGATTAATCCCATGATGAACTCCACCCTCGAACCACTTCGTCCCCTCCGCCGCCATTTTCTCAGTGCCGGCCTCGGTTTTGAGCCAATCTTCATAGTAGGCGGACATCCTCCCCAGGCAGGTTTCTTTGAAAGATGGGGACTGAAGGAAATCGGAGATGGCACGCTCCTTCTCAGCAACGAGTTGTTCCTTCTCGACGAGAAGCCGATCCCGCTCCACTTCCACTGACCGCTGCGCGGAGACAGCTTCGGCCAGCTCAACATCCAGCTCGGAGATTCGGCCCTCGGACTGGCGCAGTTGCCCCTCGAGCTCGGGCATTGAAGCCGTCAGTTGGGAGGCTGACTCCTCCGACTTTTTCAAGAGGCCCTGCACCCGGATCACCTCCTCAGACTTCGCCACGGCTTGCATTTCAAGCTCGGCAGCTCGTTCGCGCTCGGTCTCCGCCAACTCTCGTAGGCGGGACAACTCGGTTTCCACCGACGCCAAGAAGTTCAGGGAAGAAGAGAACTCGGCCCCGGCTCGACGCTCAGTGATCAGGCTCAATTTCGCCGACACCTGAGAAAAATAAGGTCAGTTATTCGCACAAATAAGAAGAGTTAAGACAGCAAGAACCTAACCTGTTTATGGAAGCTGTCCATAAGCCCCTGCAAGGACGAAAGAATCTCGCCCTCATCTTTGAGCGTCGTGGAAAGGGAAGCAGCCTCGGCCTCAGCCTGCACATCCCCGTCGGCCTTGTCGGGGGAAGTGGAACTCTTTCCACCTCGAAGACAGCCTGGACGTTTACCCGTTGGACTCCGGGTCGAAACCATGTTCTCTTCAGACGCAGTTTCCTCGTCCTCAACCTGGATGAGTTTCCTTTTTCTCTGATTCCGAGCCGGAGCCTCTTCCTGAGTCCGGGCCGAGGCAACAGAACCAGTTGCGCCCACAGGAGGAGATCCTTGTTGGACCTCCGCCCCTCGGTCTCGTTTTTGAGCCAACAGTCTGGCCTTGCGAATGACCTCTACCGGATTCATATCCCCTGCCAAAAGAAAACAATAGTTAAAAGACTTGGCGTACAAAAAAAAACCCTTGATATGAGGGACAAATCCCCGGAAGGCTTCGTACCAGCAACCCCCTCGGAGCAGGATGGCTGCCATGATTCTTCATCGTTTCCGGCCTCCCCGCCATCTTCCCTTTCGTCGTTCCCCGACTCTGTATCTTCCGACCTCGGGGCACTCTCCTCAAGCCCACGCCTAGGGCGACTCCCGAGCACGGCCTCGGATAACTCGAATTGGCGCTCAAGGGAGATAAGGATCCCTACCTCCGCTAAGTTCTGCTCTGTACATACCGTGTACACGTGAGGCGGTTTAGGTCGACAGTCTTCCAACAGTTTTTGCGCATGTGCCTGAAGCTCGGGAGTGGCCGCAGGACGAGGATGACAAATGAATGTATGACATTCGGGAAACCTGGCGTGAAAGGGATGCCGGTCCCCGGGAAAACCAGAAACGAAGACAAACTTGGCCTTCCAGAGTTTCAGGGATGAGGGAAAGACGGCCATGCCACAATTGGCCTGGGAAGAAACGACGGCATACGAATTTCCTTCAAGAGCCCCAACTTTGGAAATCTTGAACATATAGCGGAACAAATCCAAAGACCAGGGGACTCCCCTCTGGTGACACTTGATCAGGAAGATTGAAAAACAGTAGTAGGAGTGGGGACTGAGCTGGCCCGGCAAAAGATTGTAGAAGTTCAGAAATTGGACTATTAGATCGTGAGGAGGAAAGCGAAGGCCGTAGCGCATGGACGCCACATGCACCCCGACCTCGGCATCGGGGCAAGTCACTGAGAAGACATGGTTAGTTGTGTGCGGTCGGCGCACCACGTAGCTATCCCCCACGAAGCGTTGCGCCTCGTCAAAATCAATATCCAACAGGAGACAAGCCGTATTCGTAATCGGACCCGTTTCCAGTGCGGTAACGGGTAAGGAGTCTCGGTCACCTTCGGACCGATCCGGCCGGCCTCCCGTCCGGAGAACTCTTGAACATACGTCATGAACTCGGCCTCGGCCATGAGCAGCGACAGACCAGACGCAGATAATATTATTTGAAGTGATAAAATTTTAATATATCAAAACTAAATTTTAAAATTAATATTATGATATTAAATTTATATCATCACAAAATATAATTTTTCATAATTTGCCGTCCACTCGATCGAATATATCCGAAACCGAAATATATCCGAACCGGACTAGACCCGAAACCGAAATATATCCGACTCAAATTGTATCCGAATCAAAATTTATCCGAACCGATTCATAACCGAACCGTATCTGAACCGACTCGAAACCGAACCGAACCGAAAAATGTATAGAACCGAAATCAAATCCGAACCGAAATTTAACCGATCCGAATCGAACCGAACCGATTATAACATATAACCGAAAGATATCCGAACCGAAAAAGTTCAATCCGGAACCGATCCGGTTGATCCGATTGCCACCTCTACTGAGGAGAGACTATGCTTTGTTAGGAGCGAACGCCTTCTGATTTCCTTTAGACTAATGCAAATGTCTCGATATGATTTTTAATGGATTTGTGGGGTTTGGGTTCATAGTGTGGGATCATAATGCTCCTCACTTCATTGCAGGACTACAGAGGACATTTCGGAATTTGATAGGTAAATAGTGAATAATAAAATAATTGTATTATTCAAAAAATAATATAATACATAACAGAGTATGTATAAAACGGAATATAACCCAAACTAGGATTAGGAATCAATAATGGAAGCTGACTAATATAAGATCCAAATTAGACTTGGCAATCGGGTAAATCGATTCAGTTCCGGTTCGGGTCCTTTCGGTTTGGGTCTCATTTGGATATATGTTATAATCGGTTCAGGTCGGTTCCGTTCGGGTCAGTTCGATTCCGGGTTAATTTTGGTTTGACTCGTTTTCAGTTTCGGTTCGGGTTTGTATCGGTTTGGAATTATATCAGTTCGAGTTTGTATCAATTCGAGTTTATATCAACTCGGGTTTATATCGATTTAGATTTATATTAGTTCAAATATATATTAAATATTTACTAATAACTCAATAATATCACATAATAAATTTAATCAATTTGTGATATACTGCGTAGTTATTTTATTATTTAACACGGACGTACATAAAATTTAATCAATTTCGGGTCTAATCGATTCTAGGTTTAATCGGGTTCGGGATTTATCGGTTCGAGTTTAATCGATTCGGGTTTAATCGGATTTGGATATGAATCAGGTCTGAATACATTCAGTTCATGTTTGCTTCGGTTCGGATCATTTCGAGTGTTCGGGTTTATTTTGATTCTTCAGTTTTCGAGTCAAATCGGATTTGGTTCCGGGTTATTCAGTTTGGGTTATCGAGTCCGGGTCAGTTTTGCCAGGTCTAATCCAAATACTACCTTCTCAAACTTTTGTACTTTCATGATTTTAAAGTCTTTATATAAATTGTGCACCTTCTCAAACTTTTGACAAACAAGCAATTAGTTCTTTTCTTTCTAAGAAAAAAACATAATTCTTTCATGTTTTTCATATACTAAGGTTGTAACCCCACGAAATATGGCTTAAATTTTATTATAAAAAAAAGTAATTTTGAATAACATTTAGATCCAACAAAGACTATTTCTACCTTTGCCCAAAAGTTTAGGAATGTTCGAAATGATAACTTATTTTTATGAATATGTCTCGAAGAGATAAATCTAATAAAATATTTTATGAGCCAATCCGAGTTACAGATGCTGAGCAATGATGATTTTAAAATATTACTTCCTCCGTCCCTCATAGATCTTCTCAATAGCCTTTTTTCTTTGTCCACAATAGATCTCCTCGTTTCATTCCTTAACAATTAAAATACTGCAACTACCCTCAGTTACTTTATTTATTACAACTCACTCACTTCATTTAATACACTCCACCCATTTTTATTAAGGATATTATGATAAACTTTCAACTTTTTTCAACTCTCCATAAAAACCACCAAAAACTAAAATGAGAACATCTTAAGAGGACGAAGGGAGTAAAATTTATAGCATTGACAAATAAATTAGAAAATTGATTTTTTAATATTAGAAGTTTTATTAAATTATCTCATTCATATTATTAAATTATTTTATGAGCGAGTTGGACCGAAAAGCTAGAAAATTAAAATTTTCAAAAAAAAAAACTTAATTCAGAAGCCTATTTTGACAGTATTTTTCACTATCTTAAACTCATTATCATGATGTCTTCACGAGAATTGTAGCCTGAGTTTTATGAATCCATAACTTCAAACGTTTTGCGATTTGGTTGAGAAACGAGGGTGATATCATCAAAATACTGCAGGCTATCCAACTGTGACGATTCCCGAGTAAAAAAACGAATCCATAACATCAAACATATGTACATGAAAATATATACTCCATAATACAGTCAATGTTTATTACTTGCACCCTCAATCCCGACTGGTTTAACATGTTAAACATAAGTTAAAGAAGTGTTGTGGTTGAATCTGTATTTACTACATATTTCATTCGTAATTTAATTTCTTTTTTGTGCATAGGTTGTCGATGATGGTGTTATCACTAGATATCATCAAGGAACAACTTCTTGAGAAGTATAAGGACCCTCCCTCAGATATTGCAATTGAATTTCAAGTTGAACAAATTCCTAAAGTCCAGCAGAGCATGAGGGCCCGTGTGCCATATACTGAGTATTCTGTACTTCTTGTATTTCAGTTCATTTACCCTTTTTTGCCTTTTTTAGGAGGACTATATTGATGGGGATCAGGTGACACTGTTCCCTATTGCCATCATGTATTCCACCACGGGTGCATCAAGCGTTCAATGCAGCATTCCACCAGATGCCCGTTGACCATCATGCCCGTTGACCAACAGATTGAATGGGGCCAAACAAAATCAGAATCCCATTAAAAAATAGGGGAATTAACCTTGACTTGTTATATTAAGGTTAATCTCACACATTTTTGTATTACATTAACTACACTTGTTGACATATTTTTGGGGTTCAAATTTTGTTTAACCTCATTCAGTCTGATTGTCTTACACAACGAGCATCTGATGGAACGCTGCAATGAACTCCTTATGCACCTGTAGTGGAATACATGATGGCAATACGGCAACACTATCACCCGATCCCCATCAATGTAGCCCTCCTAAAAAGACATAAAATAGGTTAAATGAACTAAAATACAAGAAACACGAAATATTCAGCATATAGCACATAAGCCCTTATGCTTTGCTTGACTATAGGGAATCTGATCAACTTGAAATTCAATTGCAAGATCTGAGGAAGGTCCTTATACTTCTCAAGAAGTTCCTTGAGGACATCAACAGTGATGACACCATCGTCGAGTTCCCCTGGATAGTTGAGAAAGAAATTTACCATATAAATTACCGAAGGAAATTTATAGTAAATAGAGAGTCAACCATAATACTCTTTTAACTTATACTTAACATGTTCAACCAGTCGGCATTAAGGGTGCGACTAATAAACAATGACTGTGTGTTATGGAATGGGAGATCTTACATATCAGGAGTTTAGCAATTCAGAAATAAGCCAATTTGCTTCAACCTTTACATTATTTATTCATAAAATAAAGCACAACAAGATTATCGATTCCCTTTATTTACGTAAGATCAATGGTAACACAAGTATAGCAGGTCCCAAAACAGCAAAAGCAGTGACAATTAAATATTCCCTCCGTCCCCCATAGATCTTTCCAATAGCCTTTTTTCTTTGTCCACAATACATCTTCTCATTTCATTTTTAATAATTAAAATACCACAACTACCCCCACTTACTTTATTTATTACACCTCACCCACCTCATTTAATACACTCCACCTATTTTTCATTAAGGTATTATGGTAAACTTTCACCTTTTTTCAACTCTCCTTAAAAATCACCAAAAGTCAAAATGAGAACATCTTAGGGGGACGGAGGGAGTATTACATATGATGATATTACATATGATGTTAAACACATACCTCAAAATGAAGCATATTAAAGATAAACCTCATGAGGGCCCGCATCTTTATCATGTTGCTTTGTAAGTGAACTTCATCAACACCCTAAAATATAGATACATTACTTATAGATCTGCATTGCACAAGTGAAACCAATTTATCTATAGCTATTCCTTTAGCTTCTCCCTCAATGCTTCGAGCACAAGTTCTTGCAAGTCATTAGACACACGATGCCCAACGAGGTCTAAGTCCTCCAACGATGTATTAGGGACTGCCTCGTGAGACCACTCGAACCACACAAATGCCAAATCATAGTTACATTACTAAATAAATACCTAAGAAAAATATGTATTTAATTAGAGATTTAGAAAATCCCTTATCCTTTGCATATTCACTATATATACATAGGCAATACATTCATTCTTTCTACCACCATCCATACACTACACTCCAAAACAACATCTTGCAGTAAGAAAAATGGCACACGTAGCAAAACCCAACAAACCCATAGGGATGTGGAGTATGCTCATAGAGGTTGACAACTCTCGCACGCCTTGGACCCTTTTGATGCGTGCAATTAGTGTTTATCGTGTTCCACCTTTCGGAAAATGAGATGTAACAATGGAAGTTATTTTGCATGATACTGAAGTGTGCTTTTTATTCCTTTTTTCTGTTCAAAAACTAAACTTCTAAAACTGTTCTGAAATACTGCATTTAACGTGGTCAAATTTGCAGGGAACCAAAATTCATGCTCGACTAAAAAACCCAGAAATAGCACGCTTTGGGAAAGTCATAAAGGAGAGCAAAATGTTTCTTGTTCGTCATGTCATGGTGCATGATAATTATCATACATACATTCAAGATTACGCCTCACCTATGTTTACCGGAGTTCTACAGCCAAACTAGGGGGCAAAGGAGCAAAAACCTAATGGCTTTCCATAAAAAAAGGTTGATTTCCAGACATTTCCTGAACCAGTCATTATAATATTGAGCTTCTGTCGCTCAAGACAATTTAGGGGTGCTCTCTCCTTAAAAATAATAAATACTACCTCCGTCCCAGAGTATTTGTCCACTTTCATTTTTACACACCATCCAATGCACTTCTTTAATCCATTTTATCTTGTAATTTGTATATTAAAAATTATAGAAATTATATATTAATAATCTATATGTTAAGACAAATCAAACAAGATCACACATGACTATATTTAGGTTTACACATTGAGAGAATTTGATGAGTCAAAGTGCTTAGATGAACAGTTCCAAAAGTCAAAACTGGACGAATACTCTGGGACGGAGGGAGTATAATATTCATGTGTAATATTTAAATATTTAAAGAAATGCAAGACAAGTTTCTGTCTCAACTTCATTCCATGTCACAAAGGTCATTTATGACGGAAACTCCAGTGAAATCATTGATTTTAAGGTGAGTTAAGGACCTATTGTTTCTCCATTTTCAAAGCAACTCTTCTTATAATAAAGATTCTAAAGTTATATTGTTAAATTTCATAGGTTGCCACTTCATGTGGGCGATGGCACAACATTCAGCAGTGTGTTTCTTAGTGGTAATAATGATGAGGACAATGAAGTGTTGAATCGTTACTTGAAAAAACTGTGGTGAGGGAACTATATACACAATTTATAACTTTAGGACATAGAATACATGACTATTTTTTCTACTTATACTTTTTTAAATATAAAGGCTGGACCATTTTGGATCATTGTGGATTGTTTCCCTTCAAAACACTGGGGGATTGGTGCTATCTAGGTTGTATAAGTTGTAACTCAAAGGTTCTGCCTGAGGAGGAAAAAATTAAATGCCCGGGTTGTGAGAAGACAATACCACATGGCGACTATAAGTAAAGCTTAAAGTATTGAAAAGATACCATATTTTCCATACAATAGAAAAATGCTTTTCAAATTTCCAACATAAGTAATCTACGCAGATACAAGGTCAGTGTTCGTGTCTTTGATGATAGTGGTCATACAACTCTCCTATTGTGGGATAAAGAATGCACTGAGATGGTTGGTGTTAGTGCACTCATGCTAAGAGAGATGATGGTTGAGGTATGGTTTTAAAAAAAAACAGTTTGCGACACCTAAACATAAAGGCAAACATTAATATCTAAGTATTTATTTGCTTTGAGTAGTTCAAAGTTCTCTAGACCCAAACGGCTTTCCAAAAGAGCTGAATTGTATTGTCGGGCAAAAGGGCGTGTTCAAAGTGAGGGAGAAGCAGTTGTTGGGGCCTCCCACTTGGAGGGGACCGCAGAGCTTTGGTGTACATTCCATGATAACTCGTTGTAGAATCCTTGCAAAGTACGAAGCAGAAAAGAAAAGATGCTGATGATAACAATTGAAAATGTTTTGTTCTTTCGATTGGATCGAATGACCCAGTTGGTAGTCAGCGGGAGACCGACTCATGGAGGAAGGAAGTAGCAATTGATGTTGATGATCCACTAAAGCGACATCTATTTGATGAATTCTCAAGCACCGGAATAAAGAAGAGGGTTAAGACATGCCCAAGATCTTCAGTGTTTAGTGTTTCTTGCTAGCTTCGATGGGCATGAACAACTCTGTAAACTTCTTTATATCTACACTATCTCTTAATATATGGGGTTCCTCTAATTCGAATGAATGCTGCCAACTTAACTTCCTGGTGCTCTTAAATTAACTCCAAGAGTCTAAAAAATACATTTAATTCTGCTCAATACCTTCTCTTTGAAATTAAATACAGATTTAGAATTGCCTTGCAATAAAGACATGGAGAGTCAATACCCTTGATATTAAAAAATTTCTCCTTGATCTTTTAATATTTTTGCAGTATAAAATTTTTGAGTAAATATTCAAGAAAATTTTCAAAATACAAATCATTTTTTCTCTAATTTAATCTTTGAGGGGAAACACTTGAGGGCATAAAACGCAAAAAAATAAATCTGGAAATTGGTACATCTCAAAATCTTGCTCAAACCATATAGTGTTGATGAGAAAAATTTTAAGGAAAGAGATTCAAGGAAGCCTACCTAGAGATGAAAGTGGAGCGAGAGGAGACCCGAAGAAGGAATGCAGTGCAGGGACAAAACCGAGGAGAAAATGACCTGAGGGTTTGCACTATCGCATATATATGAGAACGGATGTCAGAAGAAAAACACATTACGATGTGCGTATTTTTTATTGCATCCGTTGGAGGGTGAAAGGTATTATTATTGTAAATATATTGGGGTTCCCATGACATTAGAACCCCCATGTCATGGGATGACCTGGGGGCGTTCCGGTGCCCCGTTCGTAAAATTGAACACATTACGATGTGCGTATTTTTTTTGCGGGCAATGTCATGGGAACCGCCCCCTTGTAAATATTAGACTTTACTAATATTTACATGAGAGGTTGGAGTTGCTTGCTCTTATGACTTATTTTCAAAAACCTAGCACTACAAATTAGAATGCAATCTTTTAAACATCGCTTATCAATATGACTTTTGAAAAGAAAAAAAATTTATCCATGAAAAAGTAACATACTCTGTAATATTTAATTCTACACATGGATTACGTAAATATAAAAACATATGGTCAGAGATCATTTTTGAATTATTACAAATTAAGAATTGCACAATGTTTTTTTAATCCTAATATATATCTTGAAATATTAGCTTACAGGGTGGTGGATGTGCACTAATTAGATCCTCTTCATTTGATGTGTGACGTAAATCTCACTCTCTACACATTGTTTTTGGGTTACTATCAAAAACACCTTAAGGTCTATTGATGAGAAAGACAAGTAAAAGTGTTACTTTTAAGCAAAAGAGACCCTTGCTCATTCTAACTCACATAAACAATTACACTCCGTATGAAATTAATGAAGTTCAAAGGAAAAAAATATATATCAACGTACTACCTTCGTCCCAAAAAGATATTTTTTTCGTCCAACTGTGACACATTTTGACTATAAATTAAATATAATTTTAAAAAATTAAATGTTATAAAAATTTGATATATTTAAATCATTTTTTCAAAATAAACCTATATTTACTAAATTTGCTAGGTGTGGGCACGATTGAAATGGAACAGTGCAATGCCATACACATGCTCAAACCATGCCAAAAAGTTGAACATTCATAACTCGTGGTCAGAGTGTTGCACAGTTTGACTAACCTTGGTCAAACGGTGGCAATCTTTTTTGGACGAAAAGAGTATTGAAGTTTGGATTACTCATGCAGTCTCTCCATCCCCTATAGATTTTACCAATAGCCCTTTTATTTCTCCCTCATAGATCTTTTCATTAGCTCTTTTAACATTTAAAATACAACAACCCCACTTACTTTATTTATTACACCTCACCCACTTTATTCAATATACTCCACCCATTTTAGGTCTTGTTCTCCTCAAACCTAATCAGATCATGTGAAGAGAACATGGCCTAAGTTAAGGATATTTTGGTCAAACTTTAACTTTTTTTGACTCTCCTTGAAACTCACAAAAGGTCAAAACGATACTACTTTCGTCCCTAAAAGATTACCACGGTTTAACTTTTTTGGTCAAACTGTGACACTTTTTTACCGCAAATTATGGAAAACGTGTATTTATTTATTTAAAATATATATTCCTGAAGTATCAAAATTTTAAAATATTTCATTGTTTTAAACTATATTTAACTCGTGGTCAAAATGTACCACGATTTAAGCAAAAAAGTCAAACTGTAGCAATCTTATAGGGACAGAGGGAGTATATAATCCGCTCTCAACACTTATGATCTATCTGTAGCAAGTCTGCTATAGAATACCAAGTAGCAGTGTAGCACTTATCTTTGATGTGCTGACTTTGTTTGGGGGGACAGTGGATTTTGCTTTTGCTGACATGTCATCTTCTTCAAACGATTTGTGACAATTGATTGACGGACGGAGCCATGGGAGGTCTTAGATTTACTACAGCAGGAATCTGATATGTTTCTGTGCTCATTGTGGAGAAAGTTTCAATAGCTTTCATCTCTGTTTGTGGAAAAATAATTGAGAAGAAAAGATTGAAGGCATTGGTCTGATATGTTTCAGTTACCTAAACATTGGAAATGTGCCCATTAGGTAAACATAGTTTGAAGGCAATAATATATTCCATCAAAAAAAATGAACACACTTACATGCTGGTCATGCTTGTGAGCAACGAAAAGCTTCAAGGAAGATCACTTGACATAGGAGAAAAATGCCTAAAAAACTGTTGTTAGGGTTGCGACATTCAGGTGTCGACATGGAAATTTCATGGCAAGAAAGAAGAAATAAGATTTGCCTAGGAGTCTAGGATGATAGAGTACCTTAAAGAAAACACAAATATCTCAAACTTCACACTAATCTATCAACAACAAACACAAATCAACAATCCATCCCTAACCTAGGCTAGAAAATCTAGTCTAGCATGCTTAATCTGAACAATAGGATAGTAGTAGATAAATAAAACATGAAGTATATGAAGAAATAAAGATCTAAATAGAAATACAAAACTAAATGCAAGTGTTTAAATCTAAAACTGGAGCTCCCAAAATAAAAATGGATAGATGAAGAAGAACATAAACATAAACCCTAGACTAAGAATGAAAATGTAAATGGGGGAGCTCCTTTGACAAATTGGAGCTAGGGGAGTATATATAGAGTAGAGGGAAGTGAGAGTGAAATGAGTAGTAAGGACATAATCTGAATATTAAAAGAAGTAGAACCAGGGGGGCAATTTCGGAATTTCACACCCAGGATCTGACTATCTAGCCCTAGATCTGAGATTGCTTCTATTCCGCTGTCTTCTTCGCGTCTCTATTCGTCGACCGGGCTGAGAGCTTCGCCGGAATTAGATGAGGCCGGAGCTGGGGTGCTGAAGGCTCTCCGTTGCCGGAATTAGGCAGCTTCGCCGCTGATTGTTGCCGGAAGGAAGCACGACGCGGGTCGGGTTGGGGATTGGATCGCGCGTCTCTCGTCGACCTGGAGCTACGCCGGAGGACACCGTCGTCACCTCTGCTGCTTCGCCGTCGGAAACTCGTCGTCACCGGCGCTGTTACGCAGAAAACGACCCCCGGGTAGGGTTACGTACGCTGGGCCACAAATTGCCGAAGAAGAACGATGGGAGCATTTGACCATTTAAAATAGACTTTTTGAAATTGAACATTGGTCCCAATATTTCAAATATGCTTGCAGAGCTGCAGTTCATCCCTTGCACTCTTAATTGGACCTAAAATCAATGACACATCACCAATTAATTCCAAATTAAAATTTTTATGAATAAAACACAATTAAGCTCTTTATAATATTAAAATCCAAGTTAATAAGTATATCAAAAGATAATTAAATGTGCAAGAATATCCAACTTATCAATCTGAAATGCAAAAAGAAATTGGACCACTAAAATCATTACCAACAAAGTTTCTAGATTGTAAAAAAGGTTGATAAGGAGTGACAGCCATGTTCATACAGAGGACCAAATAGATGTGCAAAAATGAAGCTTACAACCTCTGTACATTTGGAGGAAGCTGATAAGGTAACTAATTTTAGAGATTGTTGTTGTCTATATCAGTGATGAAAAATCCAATAAACTGTTATTTCTACTAGTTATTAGTTGGAAATATAAAAAATCACAGGACCTACCACATTATAGGATTCAACTTGTCTTACAATTTGGTTACATTTTTCAGTTGATCCCACTGGAATCCAATTGATCCCCTAGGCTTGCAATTTTGCTAAAAATAAAATCAGCAAAGAGTATGAGGATCAAAACGTAAAATGCATATTTTTTGAAATTAGCATGAATATGCAAGGATGACACAAAAAGGGAAAGAGATTCACATTTCGGTAACTATTCTTTGAGCAAGATATACCCTTCCATGATTCTCCACAAAGGTTCAATATATAATCTTTTTAGGTACACTCAATACATACATTTTTTTTCATTATAGACACAAAATAAAATAAAGTTACAAATTCTCAAAATCTTCCTTAAAAACATTGGTTGTGTCATCTAAGAATATGCTTTGGTCATCACAAATCAATAATACTTTATAAAGGGTAAATTAATTTAGTGGCCATCATCATTAAGTGTACTTTGATCTGCATATGTATACCTTGTGTCAAAATATGAAGTGAATGAAGATCATGTTCTACATCACCAACGTATGTATCGACAGGGCTCCACTATCTGCACAAAAGATTACAACAACATGCATGAAAACTGATACCCAACAACTAGACCCACATCGTGATAGAGTAATTTTTTTATTGTTACAAAGAAAGCGCCCATTAAGTCCACGCATCATAACCAATAACACATTTGGTTATGATAATTTCTTAATCTTATGGTTTCGATATATTTCTCACTTCTTTTTGAAGAAAAGAAGAACAAAAGATAGACATAAATTGAAGGCATGAGTACATTTATCTTGATTTAAGCAAACGATTGATTTGATTTGTAATGCGAACTACTCTATTGAGTTTTCTAGCACATGAAAGAAACAATATTTGCAAAATGAACGCTTTTCTTTTCACAAGACTTGAATCTTGACCTAAAAATAAGTTAGTTTGGAGCTGGATTGGTACATGACCCAGTTTATTCTGCTTATGATCTTCGGATAAGGAAGAATAATCAGAATAAGCAATCTAATTAGTTTTTGACATGCTCATTCAACTGTAAACTTGACCTGGTACTTGATTGACCGGTTTAGGATCAGGAATAAAAGTTTGCTAAGCTGATCTGGAATCAAAATCAGAAGAAAAATAATCGGTAGAGGAAGAAGAAAGGTGGGATTCCTCGGATGCGTAGGCATCTGAGAAAGAGGGGTTTTGACTATCTCCCCCCTGAAGACATGGCCGGGAAAAGAAATTAAGAGAAAAGTGAAAGACTTACTTGACTCGAAGGGCTAGAAGACTAAAGTTGAGAACTTGACCGTTATAAACTCGAGGGTTGATGGGCGCAAAAGATAAAAGAATTAAGGGGCGAGAGGCCTTTATATAGGCGAGCAAGGGGGAAAAGAGGCAACATGGCGAGCACCGGTCACACCGCATCAGGCGACGCCATCATGACGCATGTGGAAGACGAAAAGGCGGGTGACATCATAGTGATGGCAATGGTCTGTGGTGGACACATGTCAAAAACTAGAGTTCAAATTTGAATTTTAAAAATTTCAGGCGAGAAAGGTCCAAAATTTGAAATTTAAGTGATCCGTCTTCCAAATTTTCAATTCCCGCCCTTGATAATTTACAAGTACGAGAAGTGGAGAGCTTATTGATGGGTGTATTCCATTCAGGATCAGTCTATGGTCGGGTCCACAATGTCTGACCAGTCAAATGATAAATTAATGCAATAAAAGAATTACACGATAACAGTTCATACCAGTCGGTGTCAGAAAGCCGACCGGTACGCTTCGACTCTTTTACCAGTCAAATTTTGAAGCTTGTTCTGATCATCTCCAATCTCCATAAACCTATCATGCGTAAACCTAACCGGTAGGGTTTCTATGGCTAGGAAGTGTTGGCACAAAAAGATCCAGGGGAGGTTGGACGATAGCGACTGAATTCAACGAAAGATCATTAAATATATTCGCACAATCTGTCCAACGCGCTACACGACAAGGAAGTCACCTTCTTAGCAAGATGACAAGATAATAAAGGGGTAAGACAACCCACCGAGGGACAAAGGCAATCCTCACGCCATCCAAGAACGTGACCTGATGAGGATGTGTGGCCCGTGTAACCCTCAAATGAAGGGATCCAAATTTCATTCCTCTAGAATTCGTATTGTAATAACTCTCGACATTTTCTTGCATGCTTAATAACAATTGGACTACGGGTTAATTCTTGTATATACAGTCCTACTGGCCATTCTCGCTTTCCACACTTCTTTACTTTATAAGCTCAGCAAACTATTTTAGACCAGTACGATTTATATAGTGGTTAGTTTACACCATCAGTTATGAACATTACAGTTCTAATAACAATAATAATAATAATCACATTAAAAATATATATTTTTTAGAGTAATTGGTTGTGGAGTTGAAAGAGTTTGAAGAAAATGAGAATAGTTGGAAGAAACTGGAAAAAATTAAAAGGGACGAGAAAAAACTGCAAGTTAAGAGTTTAAGTCTTAAAGAAGAGGCTCCTAATCAAACTTACCCGGTCAAATTTATCCATCATTATTGGTTAGTTGATAAAGTAAAATATAGAGCATTATTATCACATAAAGTTTTTTTAAAGACGTATGTCGTTTTTTTAATTTGTATGCGAATTTATAAATAAGAAAATTCAAAAGACATAGTTTTATAGGTCGCTTGAATATTGTAATTCTTTTAAAAAAGTATAAAAACTGGAGAGTAATTTACTTAAAACTTTTACTCCTTTCGTCTAAAAAATTGTTTCTCGGTTTGATTTGGCATGGATATTAAGTAAAATTAAAAAGTGTAAAAATTTTTCATGTGTTGTCCTTAATGTGATGAAATAAAATAATTAGTGTAGATAAAAAGTAGAGTATAATAGCATACTCATTAAAAAAAATTTGCCAGAATAAGAATCAAGAAAAAAATTGGTGAGCTCAAAAAGGAAAGTAAGAAAAAAATAACGAACGTGTTAAATATATATTGTATATTTAATATATTTTATGTATATTTGGTAGTTTCCCTTGTATAGAAGGATTGCATTTATATCCTACCATAATTAGGAGACTTGTATCTTGTATATATTCGAGGCTTGACCTCCGAGATCAATACAGAAATTCATTATTCTTCATGTTATCAGAGCCTCTCTTTCCGTGACCGAAAGAAAAAAAACCCTAGAAACTCTCTCTCTCTCGTGCGTCGTCTCTCTCAGCCGCACTCCCCAAACCCTAACGCCGCAGCCCACTGCTCGGCGTTCTCCTCCCCACCCCTTTTTTTTCTCAACCAGCGACTGCCGTACCCAGCAGCGCCGCCCCAGCGACGCACACCAGCAGCATCTCCAGCGGCGCACCAGCAGCAGTCCCTCACCATGTCCGAGAAGCCCTCCTCCGACAAGTCTCCTTCCTCGACTTCAACTCCTCACTTGGCTTTCACGACCATCTCGAACGTGAAACTTCACGTTCCGATTCTCTTAAGCTTTACGGAGCCGAACTACAAAAAATGGAGTCGCCTCTTCCTCCTCCTGGTTCGGCGCTTCTCTCTCGGTGACTTTCTCACCGGAAAGTCGGCTCCCTCCAACGACGACGACACTGATTGGTACCAACTCGATGCTCTTATTCAGGGTTGGATCCTCTCCACGATCAACGACGAGGTCTCCGACCTCGTCCTCTCCTCCACCGACTCGGCGTCCGAACTTTGGCGATCCATTTACTCTCTCTTTCATGACAATAAACCGGCCCGGGCAATGCAATTGGAGCACCAATTTCGGACAACGAAGAAAGGCTCACTCTCCATATCGGCTTATTGTCAAACTCTCAAGAATATAGCCGATTGGTTGGACGACGTGGATGCCCCTGTCTCGGAACAACAGTTGGTGTTGCAGGTTCTCCGGGGGCTGCCCGACGACATGCGGGGTCAAACCTCCTTTCTTCAATTCCAAACTCCCCCGCCAACGTTTCTGCAAACCCGCTCAGCTCTTCTTCTTCTGGAGCGCCAGCATTCGGACTTAGACAGCGCCGATTCATCACCTGGCACGGCCCTCTTCTCGGCTGGTCACACCGGCGCTCACCCACACAGCCCCGCAGGTGGTGGTCGTGGTTCCTTCAGCAGCAGCGGCGGTCGAGGGCACTCTGGCAGCAGCGGTAGTCGAGGAAGGGGAGGTCAGCGCAACCATGGACGAGGCCGAAGCTCCGGGTCGAATCCCCGCACCACCCAC